GCACGCTATATTTTCAGACCGCGCGCTCCCGTTCAAATTACACCAGAGTTACCGACCGCTACCGCATTTTATTTGGAAATTTATTCCCGCGCCGCAAGAAATCTGGTCGGGTCCCGCGGCTCCCGCGGGACAGCCGCGGGAATGCAGACCTCTACTCTGAATGGGTGAGCAGGGGCAGATTTATTCCATTAGCGCTGATGTTGTTCTGCATTTTCCACACTAGGTGTCAGCAGAGAGTTTCAGAAGAGTGAACATAACATGGGAGAAGCTAACAGCAACAGATCTGCAAGAAGCATTTTAGGCTTGCAAGACCAACAAGGATTTTTATTGTTGTTTTGTTTTCTGTCATGATGAAGTTTTCGTCTGCAGAATATTTTTCCTGTCTCTCTCTCTCGGATTATAGCAGTTGTAACACTTACTAAGAAGCTTTTACTGCAACACGTTCAAAAGTTTTAGAACAACACAATTTTGCCAGTTATTTATTGCACTTCATTTCCAATGAATAGCTTGTAATGGTACAAAGGTAAGTGGTGAATTGCCAGAGGTTAAAACAAAGGTAAGGTTACCCAAAGCTGATGCAGAGAAAAGGGCAATTAACAATAGATGAGAGACAGACAACATAACACTTAAGAATGTAGGTCTTTCCTACAGAGAAACTGCAAATAAAGTCAAGGTGTCAGTGCGTACAGTTTCCTTCACCATCAAAAAGCACTCAGAAACTGGGACAATCTCTGACAAGAAGAGGTCTGGCAGACCCAAAGCCACAACTGAATCAGAGGAGAAGTTTCTGAGAGTTAACAGCTTGTGTGATAGGCAGCTTCAAGCACAGCTTAATAGTGGTCGTAGTAATCAAGTCTCAGTTTCAACTGTGAAGATAGGACTTTGAGCTGCAATGGACTACTAAAGACTGGAAAAAGCTATTGTGGACTGATGAATAAAAAATTGAAATCTTCGGTTCATCACGCAGGATCTTTGTATGCTGTTGAGTAGGTGAAAGGATGGTTCCACAGTGTGTGGCATCAACTATCAAATATGGAGGAGGAAGTGTAATGGTCTGGGTTTTTTGGGTGGTACAGAGTGAGAGGTACCCTGAACCAAAACTACTACAACAGCATTCTGCAGCATAATGGAATATCCTCTGGTATGCGCCTAGTTGGTCAGGGGTTCATCCTACAGAAAGATAATGACACAAAACATAAGTGCAAGCCAGGCCAGAACTACCTCAGGAAAAAATAAAAGATGATAATAAGCAATTTCCTAATGTTGTAAACCTGCTCAACATCTGGCAATAAACCCTTTCTGATTTCTGATTTCTGATAAGCTTGAAAACATGGAGTGTTCAGCATAGTCTCCAGACTTAAACCCCATCGAGCTGGTTTGGGATGAACGGACAGAAGAGTGAAAACAAAGTAACCTACAAGTTCCACACATTTATGGGAACTTCTGCAACAGATATGGGAAGAACTTTCTGAAGAACATTTGATTTCTATTGTAGAAAGAATGTGACCAGTGTTTTCAGCGGTTATATCTGCCAA